CGGCGTGGCCACGAATAATGAGCCTTCCTGAAACCTGTTGGATATTCTTTCAACAATTTTCTTTTCTAAGTTGAGCGGTCTCACTAATGCAATATCTGAGGTGGATACTACATTTGCTAACAAACCGGAAGTATGGTAAAAGGTAGAGTCTCTTTCAAAAAGATCTATCAGAAACTTTCACGCTCACTGTGCACCGAGCGGCACGATAGACCTTATTGTTGGATCCCCGTGAGGCCTAGTCACGAAGAAATCAGCGACTGTTTGGGAGAGTTACCAACATATCAGTAAAATCCCACCAACCTCTAAGTGCACCATTTTAGTGGCGACGAACGCCGGAATGAGGCATTGAACAGAGATTGTTTTATATTCCCAGTCGATGGTTTCGCTCAGGAACAAGAGCAGTGACTGAAATAGGTCGGTTGTCATTTCTCCATTGCAGAAAATCACTTCCTTCTTGTAATAATTGCCTTATCGCAATGAATGATTTTGAAAGATTTCGCAATTGTCTAAAAGTGAAAGTCCTACCGCTCGCAAGGTACCCTGATCTGCAGCCTCATAAAGCGTTCCACATTCGTTGGTCATGTCAAGGGTGGCAAGAACTTGAAAAGGGTCTGCAGCTCTGTTCTGTCTCCTATGTATATTCGTATACTCGTCTTCTTTAAGATGTTCTCGAAGCGCAAACGCCGAGCGTGCTCTGCCGGTGTGTTTTCTCATTTCATATCCAGAATGTGATCAATCTTCTCAATTGTTACTCCTTCACACACCTTTTTTCTCCAAGAAACTCAAACTCGCACTTCAAGAGGCCATAGAACTACTAATCACATTTTATTTCCTGGTGCAAACCAGTTTTACGAGATTGGTTATGGAGTTTAACGATGTTTTATTTTACCTTTGTGGCTGAGTATACCGCCAGAAACCGAGAGGGCATCAGCGCTTGAGCGGAGGAGACCGCGACAATCTGACCTCCACCGCCTCTTTCCATTGGTCCAAGCACCATCGACAAGAACTGAATCGAGTAGGTTAGAAGTAGTGAAACTTTGCATGCTATGGCCTGGGAAAAGTGGTCATCGTGCACAGTCCTTTCGGGCAATGGGAATAACAGTATGATAGGCCACATTGATACCTTAATGTCACTAGCTTTACTTTCGTGCCAACGCTGCAATGAGCGGTTGATTGCAATCATAACTTTTCTTCTGCAGATGATGCGATCCGCAATCGGCAAACAACCAGTTACACTCTACTTCGCTGCGGACGGTTGGGCGTGTCAGCCAGTATGAGTGTGTCACCCTCTTTGAGCTGTTCTCTGCCTTCTTGTTGAAACGGGCATGCGACAAAAAGCAGTAGAAAACAAGTAATACGTGTCATTTGCTCGCTTGAACAACTCGTGGAGAACGAGTTTGGCACCGCGCCAAACGCAGCCGCACGAACACGCCCAACCGTCCGCAATGAACTACACTATAAACTAGTCACTGGACTCACGAAAAGACAAAAATTGGTCCTTACAAGGTCACAGTGCTTGAAAACAAACAAATATACGCTCCATATCACAGAGATGGGGAATCTCTAACGCGCTCTTCATTTGAAGGCAAGTAGCACGATAAGTCCCCAAGACAAGAGCGCAGGATATATGCCCTAGCAAGACAGCATTTGGCGCCCCTGAGCAGGTGCGGCGTGGCCTCTTTTCCAAAAGAGCTACGTTTATGGCCCCCTATCAAGCCACAACGAACCGACTCGGACGCCCACTGCATCCGCTCCCTCCGCAGACGTCGTCCGATGCTGATGCTCGCTACGCTTCATTAGCGAATTACAATATCAAGCGAAGCGATTGATATGAACGGCTGCGATGCTGCATGGATATGTGGATGCGTACATGTAGCCGTATCGAGCGTGGCGGTTGTTGGCACGATGCCAAGAGACGTCCGAAATTGCTTTCTGAGACGTCTAAAACAAATGTCTTTTTGCGAGT